GCGCTGGACTCCTCCAGCGCTGAACCTTCCTTGCCGATGAGCAGCAAAGCTGTCGTCCGAATAGCGTAGCAGGGAGGCTGAAATAGCGCAGCAGGGAGTCTCCAAAATAGCGCAACAGCCAAGTCTTGAACCAGCGTAACGCTGGATTTCTCCTGGCACCTCTCTCCTGAACTGGGCGCTGGCCCAGCTTAAGTAGTGCTGGGCCGGACCCAGTAGTCCACGGCCTGCAATCTGGGCCGTGTAGATCAAAGCCTGATCCGCGGTCCAGATCGSAGGCTTCAGTCCTTGGCCAAAAAAAGGGCCTGCCTGGGTCCCTACCGGACGTCCAGGCCCTGCCTAGGTCTGGCCGATTTGGTACCTGGCCCGATTCAGGGCCNTCTGAAAACGAGTAACGGTCCAAACTGAATTAGAGGCTCAGCCTCTGGGCCTGATTCCGGCCCTGGTCCTAACTGTGTACCTGGCCACAAAACGGACAACAGCACATGAATTAGAGGCTCAGCCTCTGGGCCTGATTCCGGCCCTGGTCCTAACTGTGTACCTGGCCACAAAACGGACAACGGCACATTAGTAAAAACACATCAGTAAATAAATAAATAAGAAATCAACTTAAAGTTGAAGTATTTTCGATGCAGGCCTAAGTGAAATGGCCGTAGGGCCTCCTGGTTGCGGTGACGCGACCTGGGGGCCCTTATCCAACCTCGGGTCCCGTGAGGGGCCCGTGTGGAGGCTCTCAGCATGTAACAAGCCCCCCTCCTTATGAAGATGAGCCGGGGCGGGAGCGAAGCTGCCGATCTGATGGCGGAACGTAGCGAGGAGGCCGGGGAGCTGAAGTGTCCGGCGTAGTCTTCTCCTTGCTTAAATAACGTGAGAGAACTGCGGGGGCGGTGGCCTGCAGTTCCRAACGCGTCAGCCAACGGTCAGCCTTGTGGCTGCAGTAGGAAAAGTGAAGTAGAAACTCCGTTTCCTTGTTGCCATGACGCCGGTCGGTGATGATGTAGCCGGCCTCCTGAAATCCGTCCATGGAAGGAGGGTCTTGCGTACGTCGACCGGGAAACTCGTCGGATTCTGCMGAAACAAAAGGAGCGAGTTTGGAACAGTGGAACAMCGTGTGGACGGGCAAGTGAGGTGGCACCGCGATGCGGAATGAAGGCCCCTCGGGATCATCACCAAYTGCAGAGAGAATGCGCCAAGGCCCCATCCATTTGGGAAGGAGCTTGCGAGAGATGTCTTGTTCAAGGCTGAACTCCGCGGCGGAGACCCAAACCAGATCGCCGGCGCGGAACGGGCAAGGAAGACAATTGCGGTTGGCTTGGCGGCTCATCCGTATTTGCGTCTTTGACATCTGATCCCATGCCTTGACAAGGAGCTCTTGCATGCGACGAAGGAACGTAAGATGGTCGTCGCTCTCGGCTGTGCGCGGCAAAATGGCGTCCARCGGCGATGAGATGGGTGAACCATGCTCAAACTCGAATGGCGACATCCCAATAGCCGGATGGATCGATGAGTTGTAAGCCAACTCCACGTCTGGCAAGCGCTCGACCCAATCAACCTGGTCAGGACGGATGAGAGTGCGTAGGAGGACTTGAGCGGTCTGATGCGCCCTTTCCGTCAGACCGTCGGTTTGCGGGTGGCGAGCCGAACTCGGCTTCAACGATGAGCCCCATCGTTTGACGAGGGCGACCCAAAAGTCGGAGAGAAAGCGAGTGTCCCGGTCGCAAACGATCTCCTTGGGGTAGCCCTTGGAGCGGATCCAACCGGTGTATAGGACCTCGGCTAACTTCGGTGCCTTTGCGTGATAGCGGCAAGGCAAAAAYATGGCGTACTTGGTGAGGCGGTCGACGACCGTGAAGATCCCATCAACGCCGGTCTTGTGCTTTGGGAAGGGGCCGGTGATATCCATAGCGATCGCTTCCCGTCGGCCAAGGGGTATTGGTAATGGGTGTAGCTCGCCGAACGGACGATGGTTGCGTGACTTGCAACCCCGACAAACTTCGCATGACTCACAATAGCGGGTGGCGTCCTTGAGAAGGTCGGGCCAATAGAACCGCTGGCGAAGTCGGCCAAGTGTACGGTTGACACCAAAATGTCCGGAGGCGGGCGTATCATGAAACTCGCCAAGAAGCCGTGTGCGCAAGTGTGAATCACTCGGCACACAAACAAGATCCTTACCTCGTGCATGCACAAGTAAGTAGCCCTCTTGGATCCGATAATGCGAAGGTACCGGATTCGGAGAGGAGCAATTTGCGTACTTGTCGCGAAAGTGGGGGTCGGCTTGATAGCCGCGGATAAAACTCTCCCGCAAGTCGTCGTCRATCTCGAAGGTAGAGTAGACTGCGGTGCAAAGATCCGGTCGCCATGAGAGGGCGTCCGCAAAACGGTTTGACTTCCCGGGAATGTGATCGGGGAAAAAGTCAAACTGGTCGATGAAAGCCATCCATCGGGCAATGGTACTGTTARTCGTGTCTTGCGACTTGTAGAATACYAACGGATTGTTATCCGTTACCCATCGGAATGCTTTCCGACCAAGGAGGAAATGTCGCCAACGCTTGAGGGCGTGGACGAAGGCAAGAAGCTCCTTCTTCCGTGCGTCGTCGATCGAATGCACGGGAGGTACTTTCTTGCTGAAGTACTCGACCGGGTGCCAGTCCGTGCCGTCGTGCTGCTCAAGGACGACCCCAATGCCATAGCCCGACGCATCGGTAGTGACGCGCGTAGCTAGAAGCGGGTCGTAMATATGTAACACCTCGGCGGATAAGAGTGCCGCTTTGAGTGTTTCAAAAGAATGGCGCGCATCGTTGTCGAAGTCAAAAGGGCGCTCCTCACTTTGTAGCTTGCTTAGGTTGGCCGCGATCTTTGAGTAACCCTTGATGAAGCACTGATAATAACCGGCCAAGCCGAGGAAGGATCGGACGTCCGTCACATTCTTCGGCTCGGGCCACTCCTATATGGCTTGACTCTTGTCCGCCAACGGACGGATGCCTTCCGAAGAGACAAAATGACCCAAGTATTCAAACTCTTGCCGGGCAAACTCGCATTTGTCGCGGTTAGCTTTGTACCGGGCTGACCGAAGAGTCTCTAGAACACGGCGAAGGTGCTCGAGGTGCTCCTCTAGAGTTCGGCTATAGACGAGGATGTCGTCTAAGTAGACCAAGACGAAAYGGTCCAACATAGYGCGAAACTCGGTGGTCATGGCCGCCTGAAAGGTGGCCGGGGCATTGGTGAGGCCAAAAGGCATAACTACCCACTCAAAATGCCCATATCGCGTCTTAAACGCGGTTTTGTACCGATCTTGCGGGCGGATGGA